AAAACAAGATGATGCTGAGACCTTCAAGATCATTTTCAACTCCTTAGGTGTTTCCACTGATGGCTGGGTTTTCTCAGACTCTGTATATGTTCAATGTTTCCATCAACTTTCCTTAAAGCATTATGATTGTGCAACACTGAGCAAAGTGTCACAAGGAAAACACTGCTTGGTTCCAAAGCAAATCACACATGCTGGATGCAGCTGATCTCTCCTGGCAGTCACCGAATAGTCTTTTTTTATGGACCATTGATCCATCACAGACCAAGTCTTGCCTGCCCTCCCTCCACACTTTCCCCTGATACAAAAAAAGCCAAAAACATAGGGGTTAAAAATTCAGAATAATTCTCTGTGCCAATTCTCACAGCAGTGAGAGGCAAAGCTCAAGTTTTCTGGCTGTACACTTGACTTGGCTGCAGCAAAGGTTGTATTTAAGAATATCAAAGGATCAGACCCCTGGCCTCAGCATCTTGGTGCCTCCTTTCTCAATGGTCATCCTCCCCCTTAATTATGGTCTTATTGGTGGCAAGAGTTGTTTGATATCTCATATAAAGTGGCTTTTCCTCTGAGAATCTGGACATCTTGTGTTCATTGGCTACACTCATCTCTTTAAAATACATCAGCCTTGACCTTATGGTACTGGGAGAGAGCTCCATTGTGGCATGTGATGGAAATGAATTCAATTATTCTGCTCATTTTAAAGAATGGAGCCCGAAGCAAATGGCTGTACATTAGTCCATTTTGCCCATCTTGTTTAATGGAGTGACCTGCTGCCCCTTACCCAGGTTGATCTTTAGGTAACACTAAACCCCACCACTACCCATTTTTAAGGCCCTCAAGGAAACAAGAAGTGACCAACGAAGACTGCCTTAGCAGGGCCTCCCATAACCCAAACCAAAACTATGTGGCATCTACAGCCATGCATTCTCCAAAAGTGGAAGCTCATTAATTACAGTGGCATACTTGGCAGGTGCCACTGTACATGGGTCTCTCTGACCTGGTTATGATACCTTACTGGAGTATTTTAATGGAACAAGTTGAGAACAACAGCCTTGTAGCACCGTGTGAAACTACATTTGTGCAGCTCACAGGTTTTGCTGAAACCATCTTACTGTCCAGCTCATCCCCAAGGTCTGCTGTTCTGCCTTTATGTAATGGGGTGCACGGCTCTACTTCAAATTCACAAACGTCTCCATCTTAGTCTGCAATTCTTACAGATTTGTAAAAGGTGCCCTGGTAATAAATTCTAGCAAAAACAAACTGACACCTGTTCTTCGAGTGCTGCCAAGGATTTGCTGGGGAAGATTACTTGCAAAGGGCTTTTCTTTTTTAAGAAATGATGAACAACTGTGTCCACCTTGTCAGTGCTGGTCTCTAAGAGTCAACCAGAACAACTCGAAAGTTGATGGAGACCAGATGATGCATACTGGACTTTATGTTTAAGAGATGAGTTCTCAGTTGGGCTCTTAATGGATCAATAAAGAGAAGCAACTGACCAATGAAGAAATTAGATAAAGGTGATGGAGTGGGCTCTTGTGGTGCAGTGGTCCTCTGAACCAGGAGACCAAGGTTCAAGTTCCACCTGCTCCAAAGAGGTAGTAACACCGCTGAATGGGTTGATCAGAAACTGTACTAAGAGATGAGGTCTTAGGGAACTCAGCTGTCTGAATGAATAAGGTGTCTGACTTGAACATAGTCCGTCATGTCATCAGGTTCGGGACCTCCTGCAATTACTTTAGGTCTTGTTGCACAGTGGTAGCTCCCTACCTCTGAGCCAGGAGACCCAGGTTCAAGTGTCACCTGGTTGAGAGGCATGAAATAACATTGCCAAACAGGTTAGTTCAAGGATAACAAAAAATGAAGTTCTTTGGGGTCTTGTGGTCCACTGCTAACATCCCAACCTCTGGGATGGAAGGTTTGGGTCCAAGTCTCGCCTGCTCTGGGAGCATCTCAAAGCAGGTTAGTTACCAAAAAAGAAGCAAGTGAGTTCTTCCACATTGGGACAGCTGGACAAGGGGAAAGGTAAAAAGTGAAGTTCACACTAAGGTATAGATTGACAAGAAAACACTGGTGAATCTCTGCAAAAATTTAGCTGCCTCATTCTACTTTTATGCATCACCTTAGAATATAACCTGAGGCCAGAACATGTTAATTGTTTGACATGAGGTCACACACATAACAGTGCAATTAAATGATATTGAGTCAACATCAGAGAGCTTTGTGAAATCCCTCAGCTCAAATCTACACACCTTTTATAGAAAGAGGCAATTGGATTGAACAGTCATTTCAGTATCATGCTGCAGCCACATGACTTACGTTGGACATCTGGGTCCACATGCCTCATTCAATGTACAAAAAATATATACTTGCTATACTGCCAGGCAGCACTGAACACAGGTCCTGTGTTTAAGGCCCACCTACCGGGAATAACATAATTTGTGTAGGTTAGTGGTCAGCAAGATTTTCTGACTGTATTTATTGAAAGTATCTGAGTTAAACAGTTCACAAAAGACTTCCCTGTCAGAAAGCATTCCTTTCTTCATTCTGAAGGCATGACTGTGTTGGTGCTTCAAGGTTCACAGGTTTTCCCTTCCTCTACTTCTACTCTGCCAGCACCAAGTCACAATGCACATGAAACTTAGCTTTGCTGAGAAGATGAATAGGTGGAAGGCAGTTTCAAAGAGTTGATCAGCATGCCCAAGGACAACAGGCTGGGACAAAGGTTAATTGGGAGGGATTATGAGGGAGATTGAATGTTTATTCAGTATCTACTGCTCAATCTTCAATTGGAAAACATCAGTAAAAGCTGGTTACTGAACCCAGTGATACACTTATGACTGTGCCGAGTGTGTGAACTGCCCCATAGTGTATGGAAATAATGCAAGGTGGTTTCCTAGTCCTTTGCCTTAGCAAAACGGGAGTGTTCACAACCTTATACTGGTCTCAACCCTGGAGACTTCATGCTTAATCCTTCTGTATGCCTGCTATGTATCTATGTATCGGGATCACAACTGGGCTTGCCAATAGTGCAGAATGCTGAAGGCCCAGTTCATCCAAGACTGGTGTTCACAGCATTGATATTTTAGACTACTGAACATCTTTTGTTCCTGGCTAGCAACAGGACTTAAGAACATTACGTCATCTGATCCAGACATAGGGAGCAACAGTGAGAGTGACTGGTGAAGGATGCAGATTCCAGGAGCTGTTATTGACATAATGACAGCCAAACGGAGGTTGTTGTAAACTGGGGTCCCCTTTAAAGTTCTGCTTTCTTAAATTTCACATTTAGCATTTCCTCCAGAGTGTGAGACCTCAATTAACTTCATTGACAGTACTGGGGAGCCTTCAATAAGCATCAAAAGATTCATCAGGTGCCACACTATCTGATTATGAATGCAGTGTTTTGGCAAAAGAACTTTTCGTTCTTAGAATAAAAACTAACCTTCAAAAGAAGCTGGGCAAGGGAACAAGGGTCGTACAATGTCATATGTAGCTGCCCCCAGTCATTGGCCAAAAGGATTCAGACAATTGATTGACACGATGTAAGGTACATCAACAAATGCTTAGACAGAGGGCAGCCGTTATAGGTGGCAGTCCTCATCAGATCGGATATGGACCAGGAGAAGAAAACCCAGGGAAGAATTCCCTCACAACTTGGTTAGAGAGCTGGATGCTACCTTCACAACTTTAATGAGAGAGACACATTTGTGCACCCAACAACACACCTGTCCTCTGCTATCAGTGAACCATGCCCGATTGTCACAGTTGTATATGTTACCTAATTAACTCATGTTTCATATCTCAATTTTTGCTTCTTAACAAACTCAAGCAGCCCTGAAATTGCTCACAAATGGTCAATTATCTATATTCGCTAACTGTGATCATGACTCCCCAAAATCAACATGTTACCACAGGCCCAACTCTCTCTTGCTCTCCCTCCTCTGACTTGTGGCAATTGGGAAAGAGAGAAGTCGAGTAACACTTGGAACACTGCTAAGTTTTTTTTTTAAACAAAACCTCTGACGATAATAGCAAAGGTGTTGGGCCAGTATTTCATGGAGTCCCTGAAAATCATAGGACGTGAATCAACAGGCTGACTGCTGCACTTGGTCAATGTGCAAGTTATTTCATAGCTGTGCAGGGATTTGCAGTCTTTAAGTATGATCACCAGTCAGGGAGAGTGAAGAACGTCACTATGACAAAAGCTCCCAGTAGGAATTCCCAGTTCAAAGGTCAGAACAACATCACTGAAACAACTAGTTCGCACACTTTGTTCCCTATGACTGACGGATGGGGAAATGAGCACCTAATTCACTGAGTAGTATCTTCGTTGATATATGAAAAAGATCCTGGGATACAAACATAGCAGTAAGAATATCGCACTAAACATAGCTTTGACTGTTCATTTTCCCAAAACTCACATTGTCTGAAGCCATTCATCCTAATACAGTGTCCAGACAGATGATAAAATACTACAATTGTTCACTTGCCTCTCCTTCCCCTGACATGCATCAAGGATGGTTTTAGCATTTATATTCAAAAGCAGGTGACATTTAAGTAATTGGAAATAAAACTGTGAAAATAAATCCTTAGGATTGATAGACTTTTACATTAAGGTTTGAGTCTATCACATGGGGAAGTGTGTCTCTTGGAGGGACAGAGACTGTGGATTCAACAGCCTCTCTCAGAGCCCCACTATTCGAGGGTTTTGGGTCCCTGGCTCATAAATGCAGAAAATAGTTTCAGAGACTTAGGGCGGAGGCTGAAATTGTTTGATCTCTGTCACGTAAGCAAACAGTGTAAGGAAAGAGCAAAGCGTTAGGAAGAAACGACAAGACTTCCACATTTTAAATTAGCTACCTTACTGACTTCTGAAGAAAATTGACTGTTTCAATTTTAACAGAATTTAAAGTTTACAATAATGACTTCTCACTGTGCAGTGTGGCATTTTGACATAACAGAGACAGTTAGTGAGTTAAAGATATTAATTTGGCAAAACTCACGTTATCACTCGAGGCTTGGTCTTCTTCGGCAACTCTTTTGTCGTTTTTTCCTCATCAGGTGCTCCCTCCAGAGTCGGCTCTTCAGTCCTGGCAGTCTCTGGCTCGGAGGGAGTGGGGGGCTCCGACGTGTTGGTTAACGTTTTGGTGGGCTTGAAAGGGTCAACTGAATCCAAGCAGTCAGGGTCAAATGTGTATGAGGCCTTTGGCTGTGTGGGAGAGTTCTGCAGACCAGAGGCGCTGCCAAATGGGTTGAAATTGGGATCATCCCATTGAGAAGAATCAAAATTGTAAGACTTTTTAGGAATGGGAATGTCATCAAAGTTGGTGGTGGAGCTGCTGTCATCCTTGTCTTCAGAAGCACTGGCCTTCACAACTGCTGTTCTTTGTTTCTTCCCACCGGACTTACTGCCAGGCTTTTTACCCACTCTCCTTGGCACTGGCACCCTACCCTCTGCATTTTCCTTATCTTCTGAAAAGTCAATCTCCAGCTTGAGTGCCGAGCCTTTGTGTTGTGCTTGTGGCCTCAGCTCATCTGCTTCAGCTGCATTCGCTGACAGAGGGGGCTGCCTGTTGGCTGGGGGTGATGGTTGAAATCCTGGGTTAGAAGGGTTCTTAGTCTCAGGAAAATCACTGGTGTCAGAATTACAGACTGACGCCCGTTTCATCACGGCATGGTCTTTTGCTGATGCCCCACCTTCCATAGTCTCAACTACCATCATCTCCGAGATGGGAGGTTTTGCCTTTTTTGGCTTGGCGATACCAGGCTGCGTCTGTACATCCAAGGTCTCTGCCTTTTGGTCCATAGCTGACACTTCTCCCTCTGACACAGTCATCTCTCTTCCACGGATACTGGTCCCCAGGTTTTCTGATGTGCTATCTGGCAGCAGCAAGGGGCCTGCTGGGGTAATTGGTGGGGAATCTCTGCCCGTTCTTACTTCATCTGCAATTTCCTTAACTTCCAGGGTGTTTGGCACTGCAGAGGACCTATTAGCATCAATGGTGTTGGCTGAAGCTGTGCTGCCAGTGGTACCAGTTCCTACTTGATCTTGCAGCTTGAAGCTACGTGAAGCATCACAGTGGGTTGACTCTGGCAATGAGTGACTCTCAGATCGGCTCTTTATAGGCAGTGGCGATCCTGCTAACAACTGCTCGTCTTCAGGTTGCAAGTCTATCGCAGGCAAAGGCGGTGCGGTCAATGGAAAAGAGAACAAAATTATCAATGACTGGAATACAGCAATTGACATATCAGCACAAAGCGCTCATCCAATTTGCCCAGGCTTGTCAGTTTCAACAAGCTGCACAGCCAGACAACAGGTTGAGCAGATACACCATTCAATGCACACTGATTTACCTAATAATTTCAGGCTAAGAATCAATTGGTCACTGCTTAATGAAGAGAATCAGACACGTTATGAAATAAACAAAGGCAAAGAGGCACTGTTTATAATCTCATTCAGACTGTATTTCAACCAGTTTCAAGAGGCAGATGGTCAGCCATGTCTATGCTGAACCCAACCCATCTCATTCATTTCATTGAGGGATCTGCAACATGAGCCCAAGCACTTCCCCAGTGGTAGAAAAACCTCTCACCAAAAGGTGAAGTCACAAGCACATGGCTCCCTCCACAGAGAGAGCCACTGTTCCACAGCAGACAGGGACTGAGCAAAAGCAAATGGTCTGCTGCCATGTTGCCAGCATCTCTGTTTGGCCAGTGAGCTCATACAGTTGGAAATAACGTGCAGCAAGAGTCATTGCAGAATAATAAAGAACCTTGCAGATCTCAAAAGACACAAACAATTCCAAGGAGCTTTCTGCACAGTAAATGAAGAGTATACAGGAACCTCAGGGCAGTAATATGTTTGTAAAGTTACTGGAAAACTAGATGATGGAGAGGCTTCATGATTTTCTCAAGGAAAAGCTGTATGGAACAAAGGGGCAGAGGCAGAAATCACAGGTCCCAGTGCTACTCTTGGCTCAGGCCCCCAGCCCAAGTAGAATTTCACAGCAAGCAATTTGAAAGTAAATTCATCTCTCTATGGCCTGCTTCAAAACAAACTCATACCTTATCCTACCCAAAAATTGCTTCAAAGGGTTCCCATCAACAACAGAGCTGACGACATATGTCACAGCCAAAGGCAAACAAACTCTTAGTAGCCACGATTTCCGTTACGGCAAATTAAAGTTTACATTTTGAAGCTGATAGAAAGTTAAAAGAGTGTGGTGAAAACTACAACATAAACAAGGGGTTTATCACCGAGCACAAAAGTAGAAGGAAATGCATACTTTTAATGGCTCGGTCACAGAATCCGCTACACTGCCTCCAGATTAATAATTCAGTCACGTTGCATTTGTCACAGACGATCACGGAAATCATCTCACAGCTACTGGTGCAGAGCACCACTGTGAAGGATCCTGCAAAACCAATCTGCCACTTAATTTTTCATAGATGATGCACAAGTGCTGGACAAGGGTCTATTTGAAAACGCAGTGTTGGATAATTACAGTGGACCCTTTAGAAATTATTCAAGCCTTGAGAAATTATTAGCCAGGCAGGCTGGAGTTTATAAAGTAAAAGCCACAGAGGACTGCTCATAACCAAGGGTGTAAATTGCAGCTCACCTGTGTTTCATTTAAAGGAGTAAAATAACGGCCGTATGTCTTTGCACCATTATTTTCTTCAAGAAATTAAAGCCATTTCTGATTAGCTAGCCCAGTATCCCTCAAGAGGAGCTGAAGTGTAAATAAAAACCGAATGACAACTTGATTGCCAAGTGAGACATAATATTCCTTTAAGGGGAATGTGAACCCTGCTCCCCACGGCTTCCAGGTTTGTTGTGCTCCTGTAACAAGGTTCCACAGCAACAGAGAAGAAACACTGGAGGAAACGACGGTTTAAATCTCACAACATACATCTTGCATTCCTCAAAATTTATATTTTTTAAAAGTTGCTAATTATGACTTGGATGCAAAAGAATGAAAGCTTCTTCATTTGAGAGGCTGGTTTGAAAGCACAAAAGATTTGTGCTTGATCAAAGACAAGTTTAAATACCAATTGTTACCTCTACAGTCAAAGGCTAAGATAATCTGAACAGAATG